AAAAAAAAAAAAAAGTTCAACATTATGCATATATATCCATATGTAAATATGTCTTTTATTCAAACCTATGTCCCAAAATGATGGATCTTAAAAAGAAAAACGGACAAAAATGAATGGGTTAAAAAAATTCTAATTTCATATGGATATGAGAGTGGCTTCTTCTGAACCACCATGTCTACTAAAATATTCAGTGAATTGTATTAAGTTTTCATGCATATGTAATTTTTTTCTCTTCAATCATTTTCTGAGAGTGCATGAGAGCTGTGAAAAAAAAAGACACTGAGCTAAAAAAAAACAATTCAAGAGTCGTTTCTCTGGCTTTGGCAAAATGATTACAGCTCTGGAGCTTTTGAACCTAGGAAAAACAGTGTTTTACCTGACACCTGTGCTACTCTCCAAATGGAGCGAGAACACTGATCGCAGAGTCGTTCATCATTTTAGAATTGAGCAGAAGCAACCATGCATACAGGCTACACCTGCTGTCCACACTCACTCTCATTTACACTTTATTATATCTGTGCCTTACAGTTTTCAGGAGGAAATAAATCATAAAATTACTTTTGTTTTGCTCACCTTGCAGTTGTTCGATGAGGGTCCATGCCATTCTGGAACCCTGGGCGTCAAACACCACATGACCCTGAGAGAGAACAGAAACATTTTTATACTGCGGTGTCTATCGCTCTCTTAAATTTTAGTATAGTATTATTTATATGCTACTGTGGTATTAATCAATATTTTGAATTTTTTTTTTTTATATTTTCAGTTTACATTTAAATTTTAGTTTTACCCTGCAAATATGAAACCCTGTAAATATTTAGATTAAATCATATTTGAATAATTTTTTACATTTTTTTTTTACTCAAATTTTAACATGATGTTTCTAAAAATGATGTATGGAAAATCAAATAAACCTAAGTTGCTTCAGTCTAGGAAGTGTTCATCTTGAAATATTACTAACGATATTACTTTATTAAAATCAGTAAAGATGCCCACACATGTACAATAGAGTATTTCAGCAAAGTTTTAATCATGTTGATAATTTAGAAGATTGGGTATTTAATATGATACAGCAGGCTTCGAGTTAAGTTTTGTTATTGTCATAATTTTAATTTTTAAAAAATTTTATGTCATATTTCTTGGTTTTTATTTTTGTAATATTTCTATTTTACTATTTTATTTTTTATAATATTTCTATTTATCTTTTTTATGTATTTTTATTTCAGTTTTAGTACTTTTACTACACAAACTTGCGAAGATAACATTTCTAATTTTTTTTTACATTTCTTTGAGTTTAAGTTTTTCAACTAATATTAATTTTATTTTATTTCAGCTTTATTTCAATTAACTAAAATGTTTTTGTTTTAGATTTAATTTACAATAACAACATTAGTTAGCATATTAGTTTTACTGTGGTATCACAATTGTGTATCACTGAATATGAAATATATTGGTAATGACTACTGAACCTTTATTTATGTAGCCAAAGCTGTCACTCACCGAAACTCCCTCGAAGGAGCTGGTGTTGAGGGCTCGGTAGATCTCCGCAGTAATGTCCTTGTTATTGTAATTAAAATCTTCCAATCTCCGTCCTTTTGCCTTCAAAGGCCCCACTGTCTTATTGAGAGCCAGAGCCAGGGCCCAAACTGCATCATATGCCAGAGGAGCTTCCTGAAACCCTCCGGTTTCCTCTGGATTCTTCCCACCCAGCTTGGACATCAGCTGTGCTAGGAACTCCTGCGAGGTCTGGATCAAAACAGAGGGCATACGGTATCATCTGGCATGCATATGAAAGCATACGCACACGGGAAAAACTCAGTGCGCTAACAAGAGCTTATGCATGATGGATTTTATGCATGACTTCACTGTCGCTACAAAAGCGCCTAACTGAAAAAAGCGCCAGACTTCCGATGGCGAGAAAGCGAGAGAGGGGTCAAGGTAAGTTACAGTTACAGTTCATTACCGTGGGAGTGCATCATATAGACGGAGGTACTTTTCTCCTCGGTGAGAAATCTTCATTCACACACACCAGGACCTGAAGCGCCAAAAATAAACTCCCGCTTTCACACACGCTCTGAAGATGTTCCATGTCATTAAGGGGTACTGGGAAAAGAAATAGAGTTGGCGCGCACTTATCGCGGCAGCATATGAAAACCGATTTCCTTGACATTTTTCACACCTTATAAAAAAAGCTGAGGCACCTTCTTCGCTTCAAACAGGTGCGTTTTAGGAAATGAGCCAAGCTGCAGATGGGCATCTGGTGATTGCTTGATGCAAATGGACAGCGGAGAACGTGTGCGGATAGAAACTGCGCATCAAGAAGCATTTCGACTCTCTTAAAATTACACCCTCAAAGTGAAGGACGGTAAAGCGAGGATGAGGGGAACAAATTATGGTGTTGTTGAGTCAATTTAGCATGGCCATCTTATCACAAATTTTTTACGTCATATGTGAAGCATAGGTGTCTGGATACGTGCCCAGATTGCTCCAGATCCAGGAAAACAGCAGGGACATATGCGTCGAGCCAATTCCCAGCACAGAGCACCGGAGTTGGGTGGGCTCCAGACAGCACCCCCTGGAGCTCACACCTGTCCATCCAGCTCTCCCAGGGGGACAGCAGTTGGACCAGAGCGTTCTGACCCCAACGGGACTCTTCGGGTTTTCAGATCTGAGAATAGCATGTGCACAGCTAAAGATATGACGGTAGGTTATGGGACATTCCCAGTTGGGAAACGGAGTTAGTTATCTAAACAGAATGAAGCTTGCGTATGGCGCGCTAATCTGAGGATGATGTCATTGTAAAGCGTGCAGCATATGGGAACACACGGGACACTGGTGGACAGTCATTATGGGTTTTTCAATGACCGACGAGGACATGTGGAGAGCAGGGTGGCTGATGGCCAACAGATTCAGAGCATACAGTAATTCATTAAAGCCAAATTAAAGAAAATACAGAAAAAGCTGAAACACTTATTCTACACAATATTAACTAATAAAGATTTTTTGTTATGTCATATTCGAAATGTAAAACCAAATTTGCAGTAATTTGCATTTCCCAGCTGCTATGTGGTTGATAGGGGATTCTTAAGGCCCGTTCACACCAAGCACGATAACTATAAAGATAACGATAAAGATATAGTTCTAAAAATCGTTCTCAATATTAAAGAATAGCATAGTTCACACCACAACTATAATGATAACGATACAGAGGAACGATATGGTTGTGATCACTTTCAAAACGTTTTTTTTCCAGCTGATGAACGATAAAACTCTGACAGCCAATCAGAATCCATCCTGCTGTAACGAGCTCAAGAATTTAAAGTGGCAGATGCGCGTGCGCTTAGAATAAACAGACGATATCGTTCGCTGGTGTGGACGCTAATATCGTTATCTTTATAGTTATCGTTATTGGTGTGAACGGGGCTTAAGTGATTGCTAATGTGTTGCTATGCAGCTGCTATGAGTTCTTAGTGGTTGCTGGTGTGTTGTTTTGCGGTTGCTAAGGTGGTCTTATGCCGAGTTCACACTGCACGATTTTCAAACTCGTCGGATCGCCGTTGTTTTTACACTGCATGACTATCTGGGGTAGCATTCAGTTGCTGCTGTGTTCACATTGCACGATGGATCGGCGACAGGAGGTTTCACACTGCATGACTTCACAATAGGAAGAATCGCCGACAGCTCTGTCTGGTCCGCAAACTACATTTCACAACAAAACACACGCGAGAAGTGATAAGGAAATAACGCGAGAACCCGCATGCGTCAGACTCGTTCTCGAGCGAGACTGGAATTATTTTAAATATATATACAGCCCGCAAATAGTCTGTGAGCAGATTTCCAGCTACAAGGAGAAAAAGAAAAACAGATTACGCAGGAGGGAGATGCAGGGAACAGGGATTGGGTGTTCTGCAAAGAGAGTTGGAGGTAAATAATTTAGCAGTAACTGTTATGCTGATGTTGTGGCTGGTCAAGCAAATGTTTGTGCTTGATTCTGTATGATATAATTGTTCATATATCTATTAAAATACTGATATTCTGGTCTATAACTCCTCCCCGAACTTCCCGCTGCCCTGTATCTTGGTCTCTCATTGGCTGTAGGTCATCGCCGATGTGTTTTTCAGTCAGAAATCATTGCACACTGCGTGATTGTGAATCGCCGACAGCTCCAGATATTATAGCATGCCAAATATTTTGCGGGCGTCGGCGACTCGCGTGAACGAGCACCGATTTGCCTCCGATTTCGGGCATTTGTCGGCGATTTCACAAAACCTGTCGGCGAGTGAAAAATCAGGCTAAAATTGTGCAGTGTGAACTCGGCATTAGACGTTGTTAGTCTGTTGCTATGTGGTTTCTATGGTATTTTCAGAATGTATAGGTAATTTGCAGTCTTTGTATGAGGTTTGATCGGAACTTACTATCAAAATCCAGTTGCAAGGTGGTTGCTAGGGTGTTCTGGGTGGTAGCTTACTATCTCAAGTCAAAAAAGTCCACCCAACTGTTATGATATAACAAAGTCCCTTTAAGGCCAGTCATGTCACTCGTCGGCCATCTTTGAAACGCCTCTCGGGCATGCAAGTGCAACTCCTATCTCTTTGAATGGGAAAACATTAAATTCTCCAAAACTTGTCGCCAAGCTTACAATTAAATTTCATATTTGAAATCACCAATGAAATCTGACAACAATAAAATAATGTTGTTTAAATGTTGTTTCTTTTGCTCAAATTGCATTAAAAAAACCGTATTTTTCAGGATAGACCAGACAGTGCGCATGCGTGGTCCTAAAAACCGTTTCATAAATGTTGTTTCTTTTGCTCAAATTGCATTAAAAAAAACGTATTTTTCAGGATAGACCAGACAGTGCGCATGCGTGGTCCTAAACACACATCTCCGAACACTGACTGTTTCTATAGCAACCAGGACTTCTAACAGCAGCTGCAGTGACCCACTGACTTTACCGATTAGCGATTGGCTCTATTATTCAGAAGGCGGGGCTTCCTTCGATGGAGCGGCTATATTGAGTGATGCATTTTTCCATTCAAAGCTATAAGAGTGACACGTCTTGGGTTTTCAATAGTCTTTGGATATAAGTCTCTACAATATTCTGGTCTCTAGATATGGCTTGTGTTCCTATGGAAGCCTGGTTCTGCCACAGGATTAAAAAAAAAAAGCTATTTGCGACTTTTTATCTCACAAATTCTGACTTTTGAGTTTATATCGCACACTTCTGAGAAAAAAGTCAGAACTGCGAGATAAAAACTCAGAATTCTGACTTTTTTTTATCACAATCACGAGTTTATATCTTGCAATTGTGACTTTTTTTTTTCGCAATTCTGAGTATATATCTGACAATTTAGACATTTTCTTACAATTGCAAGTTAGTTAATAACTCACAATTCTGACTTAATAACTTTATAAAGTCAGAATAGACAGATAAATTCGCAAATATATAACAAACTCTTTGAGACTTTTTTTCTCAGAATTGTGAGTTTGCAATTCTGACTTCATAACTCGCAACTGCAAGTTTATATCGGAATCCTGAGAAAAAGTCAGAATTGTGAGATATAAACTCAGACATCTTCATTTTTCTCATAATCATGAGTTTATATCTCACAGTTCTGACATTTTTTTACAACTGTTAAGTTTATATCTCACAATTATAGTTTATAACTTATTCGCAAATATATAATATAAACTTGCAATTCTGACTCAGAATTTTCGCAGAATTGTGAGTTCCCAATTCTGACTTTATATAAATGTATATCTCGCAATTCTGACTTTATAACTTTATAAAGTCATTTAATTGTGATATTAAATGTCGCAATGATGTCCTTTAGCGTGACAGACCCAGAGATAGCAACAAAGGTGTTTGTGTCTGTTTTGGGGGGAATCTTCAAGGCACCAAAAACCAAAATAAATACATAAATAAATATGTTTTGCTTAAAGAAAATACATTTTTGTACTGTGACATTATATTCATTAAAGTTTTCTAAACACATTTCCCCCAAATCTTCATTACCAGGGACTACAGCTGCAATTTAGGGTCACACTTTATTTTAAGGTCCAAATCTCACTATTAACAAACCATTAACTGACTTTTGCCTCAATAAACTCCTAATTTGCTGCTCATAAATAGTTAGTAAGGTAGTTGTTAAGTTTAGTTATTGGGTAAGGTTAGGGATGTAGAATTTGGTCATCATGCAGAATATGTGCTTTATAAATACTAATAAACAGACAATATGTTAATAATAGGCATGATAATAAGTAACTAGTTAATAGTGAGGATTGGTCCCTAAACTAAAGTGTTACCCAATTTAAGACTAAGACTGTTAAATAAATACATAAATACAGTATTGTCCCTGTACAAATAAGCAAGAACTTTTTTTTTTTGTTACACTAGTATTTGTTGTGTTGTTTAAATAACAAATAAAATCACTATATGACATACTATGTTGTTCTTTAAAAATTATATTAAATAATAGTTTTTGTTTATTTATTGGGAAATAAATGTTATCTTATGTATTTAAAAAAACATTGTATTATCATAATACTATAATACTGTAATACTAGAAAATAACAGAAATTACAAAAAATAAAATTAAACATCTGTAAGTAATCTTAAAAACAGGCTTAAAAATATAACCTAATCATGCATTAATATATATTTTTGTTTTTATTAATCTGATTTTTGTTAAAGTGTAACCTTGGACTTGTTTTTGTGAGATTTCATCTATTATGAAACAAGTTTAATTCAATGATAAGAGGTTCTACTGAAGACAGTAGGGCCAGTTCAATGTTGATTCAATTCAGTTCAATCAATTATGAACAAATTCAATTCAGCTATGAAGCAGAAGACAACAGTGTCATTATTCAGCTTAATTCAGTTCAAGTTTTGTTTTCATCCAGCAGTCTAAGTGCCCTCAAACTGATGATATTACTGAATATTAAGTGTCTTTCAGACACACTATTTGTATTTGGCATCTGTCTGAGAATCGTGAGATGTTGTTGAGAACGGTGCTGATCTGATTTCTCTACCGCGGCACTGACAGCAACACCCGTACATCACTCTGGCAGCGAGGCCATAAATGAAACGAGTGAAAGTGAAAGCACCTTGAGGTTCTTGACGGCCACAGCAGGATCCGTGAGGAAACTTTGCCTCACGCTGATCTCAATGCCTGCCTCCTTCACCCTCTGCTCTAGATCATCCAGAGTCTGAGAGAAAGAGAGAGAGAACGAGATTAAAGGAGAACAGAGAAAGAGTGGGAGGGAAAGTAAAGAGCATAGAGACATCTGCAGATAGACGGGAAGTGATGCCGGGTAGAAAAAGAATATTATTGCAGCGGAAAGGCAGAGATAAGACAGGCATGGAGAACGAAAATGAGGGAAGAAAGAAAATTAGAAAGAGACTGGCAGATCTAATTTCTTTTGTTGGGACTTGTTTACTGTTTACCATCCTGCGTGTACCAATAAAACAAGCGTGTAAATGTTAATACAGTCTGTATAACCTCAGGCTGCAGAGAGCAGGAGGAAACAAAGGAACAGAGCCAAGCTTACATCAGCTACAGCCCACAATCCCACATCCCAGATGTTGTCTTCTACAGCACACAGATACATTTCACCTACAAAGCACACAAAACAACATGCTATACCCTGAAGTAAAGCATGTGCTTCTCAAACCCTCAGTTACGTAAAACACAGCCTGTCTGAGTTGCACGACTCAGATATCTGGCATCCGGCAGGCACTCACTGCATAGTGTTTTACAAGGACTGTGTTTGTCCACGCTAGAAGAAAAAATGCTGTGTGTAATGCAATAAAAATCTAGCCAAGATGTTAACCTAAATCGATGAAATAGATCCTTTCTTGTAAAAAGAAAATATTATTATCAGATCACATTAGCTAAAAGTAGGGTGGTTTCGATGTGAGTTGGGTTTCAATTTGATTCAAAAAGTGTTTTTTGCTCATTCAGAATAATTTGATTTGATTAGATAAACCATTTCATTGATCTGAATCAATCACAAAAATATTTGGTTCATTTAACAATCATTCAATTCAGTATTTGTTTATATGCATGTATAAGATTGTGGTCTTTAAAGAATTTAGTTTCTGGTTCAAAGTGCAGCAGGTCTGAGCTGATGTGACTAAATGGAGGTGGGGACTAATTTGCATATTCATATTTATTCGCCTTCGCCTATACTAAATGAGGAAAGCATGTAGAGTTTCAGTCAAGCCATTTGAAGGCATGAATAAACTATTTTAACTAGAAAAATTTTTATATATGTTATTTATGTTTAAATATGTTATTTTGATTATCAATATGAGTTTTAAGGGGTATTTAATCATTACCTCATCTGTAAGTCACTTTGGATAAAAGCAACTGCTAACCCTAGAGAAAAATAAATATACTAAAATGTTTTTGAAATACATTTATTTAATGCTAAGTATACTAAAAATACATTTACATATTTATGTACTTAATAAAAATACCTTGCAATTGTACTTTTGGCATACTAAACCGTATACTTAAAGTCTGGTACTGTTGTACTTAATGCACTTTAATTGTGCAGAAGTAGTGCTTAAGTCCAACTAAAGATATACTGAAGTATATTTGATTGTGCTAAAGCGGAACTATTGCAAGTATACTTTAGGTAAACTTTAAATATTGTGCATTTAATGACCAATATTAGTCAGAAATCATGCAATCCTTATCAATAATAACAATAAAACACATTTTAGGCTTAATATTAAGAAACTGTGCATTGTACACAAGTAGTACTCCAAATAAAGTTTAATTATAGTTTTTATATCAGTAAGTCTCAAGCGATATGTCATTAAATACGTTAAAAGATTTGAACTAAGTATAAAATAAATGTATTTTAAATATATGGAAATGATTAAATGTAAATGGCTCAAGGACACATACTGTATAATTGTAAAGACAGAAGCAATATCAACTAGATGACTTTAAACTTAAATGTTTTCTGCACAAAAAGTCACCAACTATACAATGATAAAATGTTTTATCTTAGAGAAAATAATGCAGATGTTTCCATGCAATGAAAGCATTTTATTCATTCATTCATTCATTCATTCATTCATTCATTCATTCAGTTGAAGTCATGAAAATAAGGTGGCAGCTGTGAAATACGATCAGAAGCCTTGAAAATCTGTTTGGAAAAAGTTTCAAGGAGTTTGGATAAAAGCGTCTGCCAAATGAATAAATGTAAATGAAACAGAGAGCGAATGCACTCATAAAATAACGTGCTTATTTTATATATTGTATTGTACTACATTAATACATTACAATTCATACAACTCTTTTAGCATTTTAAATTGATTACTGGCCAACTAAAACAAATCAAGATTTTGAAGTCATATTTTCGGTCAAGGTCGATGCAAATGGATTTTGCAATAAGAAACAGGGGGAATAGTTTCCAAAGAAGAAAATGTTTTCATAATATTACATCAAAATGTAATAATCCAGCTCTGAAACAATTTTCTTTTTTGCTGACATCATAAAGGCTACTTATTTTTTCAACCACACTTCTAAGTGCAAACCCGACCTGACATAATCCAGTGAATTTGCATTGGATGAAATCAAGTCCTGCCTTACATTTTTGTCCTCACTGGATACACTGGTTTACTTGGAAATACACTTACATTTCAAATTAGTCACATTATAGAAATGAATTGGGTTTTGAATGTCAGTTCATGCTAATAACACTTTTCATAACTATGCAGAGCAGGACTTTGGACCAATGGCATTTCAGAGTGGGCGGGGCTACCCAGCACAAGGGACAATAAGCATGTGACCAACACAAGATTCAAATGATAATGAATCTCTACTGGTTGTGCAAAAGTCAGCAAGCTTTTCATTGCATGATTATTGCTTTTAAAACATCTGTACATGTAAACATCTCACTCACAGAGGTGAAGACTTCGGTGGTCTGCTGGATGGTGGCGATTTTGGTCCACTTCCACTTCTGGAAGAGTTGTACACGGGTGGGGTTGTGCAATGTGGCTGAGGGATGCGTGCGGAAGAAGGTGGGGAAACGCTGACGGTTGGAGAGTGCTGGTGAACTGGATCCGTAGGACAACTGCGAGCACATATCAATGGTCATAAGAAACGAGCAATAGAAATACATTCACACATCTCCACTGTACAGACACTGAGACCTTCGGAGAAAAATTAGAAACAAGCTAGTGAAGAAAAATGTGCGCTAAAATCACCCGCAGGAAAACCAGCACCCAAGAAGCTAAATTATCTACCTGCTGGGTTGATCACAGTTCACTGGGAACAGCTTTATTTAGCATTGGAGAATGTAGTGTGCGAGACAAGCGTGCAAAGCTGTGATAAAAAGTTAAAATCCAAAACACAGGTGTAAAATGAAAGAAAATAGAGGTTTAAATTTCAACATTTCCTGTTCTGTGTTAATCAGGCAGTCAAATAAGATGACAGCAGAGGGTTTTTTAGCTATTTTGTCAATAACTCAATGTCATTCCCAGATGCGGTGAGATGTCGTTGAGCGACAGGTCTGCTGAGGGGGTGGGAAAAGGGAGGGTTTCAAGGCCAGCGGGGGGATATATAGGTCAAAACTCACATGTGAAGAGAAAAAGCTCTCAACAGATATAAAAATAGAGCAGAGCATGAAAAATAAAGAGACTGATTTTCAAAAAAAAAAAAGAAGTAAGATGAGGCAGTGGGAGTGCACTTCAAAGACGAGCCAAAAGCGAAATCAAATGACATAAATATCTGATCCAAAATGTCTGGAAGCCATTTCACTGATTTCGGGTATTTGAACGAAGTGGGAATGCATTTGGGAAGCTCATCTTCACTGCGGTATAACGTTTTCAGTGATGAGACCTGTTGGAGAGTTCAGTTTGGGATGTACAGAATCATACAGAAGCCATTAAAACCAAATGCCAGTGACCACAGTTACGTTTGCCTCTTTTAATGTTTTTTTAATCTGTCCCTAGTAAGAAAATAACATTTATTTCATACTAAGTATAGTTCAAATCTGTTAACATATTTACTGACATACTGCTTGAGACTTACTGATATAAAAATTATAATTAAACCTTATTTGGATTACTACTTGTGCACAATGCACAATTCTTAATATTAACCCTAAAATGTGTTTTAATGTCACTACTGATGAGGATTATATGATCTTTGAATAATATTGGTCTTTAAATGCAAGATATTATGTAATAATATACATGCAATAGTTCAATTTTAGCACAATCAAATATACTTCAGTATATTTTTAGCTGGACTTCAGCACTACTTCCTCCTCACAATTAAGGTGCATTAAGTACAAAATTAGTTGTTCCAAATGAGCAGACTTTAAGTATACCAGTTTAGTATATCAAAAGTACAATTGCAGGGTATTTTTATTAAGTACATAAATATGTAAATGTATTTGTAGTATTCTTAGCATGAAATAAATGTATTTCAAATACATTTTAGTATATTTATTTTTTTTACTAGGGGTGTAAATTATCATGTCAATTTAGTGTATACTATAAGCACATAATTAGATTTTTTTTTTTTGTAAGTAATGTAATTAATCCTGCCCTCTGATGAGCACATACAATTCATACACATCCTATCTGATCGACCTCTTTAACACAGACAGACTGACAAACTCAACTTAATGAATCACTGTGGACCTTAAGTCAGTGATTGGCTTAAGTTCAGTAATATGAAAAAAAAAATAATAATAAAAAAAAAAATCTTACTGACCCCAAACTTTTGAACAGTAGTGTATATTTTAGGTATATTTTTATACATTTATGCATGCATTTACATAATCTCTAACAGTTCAAATAATGAGGAAACACATATTCTAAATAAAAAGAAACTATGAAACTTGCATTTCCCAAAACGATCAGAAGTGAGACATGCTATAATTTTCTCAACTTTCTGGTTGCAAAATGAGGTGTTAATGTCATAACTCTTGTATATTTTCTCTAAATCCTTACAGCAAACAGTGCCTGTTGAAATCTGTGCATTCAAATCCTTTTATACTCCTCTTTTGGAATTAAACCTATAATTTTTAGGATCCCTGATATTTAACTGCTAGGCTGAATCACCTCATTTCTGCAGTAACTACATGTATTGTAACAATATAAAGTAAAATTGCTTTCACTCGCCCATCTGAAATTTTTAGTGGATGCCTGAACAATGCAATGTTTGTTGCAGAAAAAGAACATTTTGTCATCACTTTCACAAACCTTCTCAACATCCTTGCATCGACATCTCATCTGTAAACATTCAAAGCGAATGAGATCTGATGAAGAGGAAAACCCACCACTATGAGGTTCCACATGCGCGCGGCTTCGGCCACCAGTGTGGACACAGAGCTGCAGCCTGGCATCAGGACGATCTTTATGGGCTCCGTGTACAGCAGGTCATACAGCAGCTTCGTGGCCTCACCAGGATCACACTGAAAGCAGAGAGAAAAACACTTTTAAATATATAATCTATATTCAGATTTGAAGATTCACAGCTGTCACTATTCATGAAGCATACTGTCACTGCATGCTCAAAACTGCATACCTCGACAAAAACATTTTTTCACACTGTACTGTATATACATTCGCCGCTTCAGTATAAGGACCCCCATAGGGAGAGAGACTTCATTTCATACTGAATCACATAAGTAGAGATAAATATGCATGGGAAAGCAGAACAGAAAGAAGCAGAGACAGATAAAGCAATAAATACATACAGAGGACAGCTGGAGTCCTCCAAGGACACATGCATTTACTCATATACTGTATATACACCAAAAAACAATGTTTGTTTGCTAGACATGTACTCTCATCAGTCTTTAACCCGACGCTGACAATCAGCATCTTTTTTTCCTCCATTTGTCTTAAAATTACTGTCAATGACAAATCAATATCTCATTTAAATGATAATAGTAGGTTAAAGCCACAATTGATCATGTGTTGAGAGCAAACCGAGTTGCAGGCAGTGGCCTTGGGCACAGCCAGCATTTCTAAAGCTGGGCTTTTGTTGCGTTTCTGTTGTTTTGGGAACAAAGAAAAGCTTAAACAGGGGCAAAACCTAAAAAGAATAACAACAAACATGAGATTAAAATGATTCAAGGCTTGATTGGTGCAATCACATAAATTCAATTGCCAGAAACCTGTGGCGGCTGACTGCTCTTTACTTATTGCTGTCTAATCTTGCTTCCTTATCCCGACACATCTCTATTTCTGTCGCTCCCGATGCTTTTAATTTCTTCTAAACATCCTGCTAAATTACTCCAATTATTTCAATCGCAACAAAAGAAGCATTTTAGTGAGAAACTGCTTTTCTTTTCAGAATTACAATGATTTCCTGTGAAAAGCATGAAATTAATGTGACACTCCACACAGTTATGCGAGAGAGTTTCTTCAGCTGTCTCTATTGTGGACACATGCCTACACATTCTTTTTAATAAAATAAATCAAATGAGCATGACTGTACACAATGCGTTCAGGCACATGGTATGTCCTCCAGAGTCTTGAGCAGACTCTCTCCAGACTCCCTGGGGGTCGTCAGCAGAATCATATCCCCAGAACGGAGACTTTGTTTGGGCTCTAAATCTCCTCCCTGTCCTGACTTTCCAACCCTGAGGGAAGCCATGCGTGAGCCTCACTCTTTTAAAGCACCTGGGTCCCACCGAATCAAAACAACTACAAAAAGTGAATTCTAATTTTTTTTTGAAAACACAGAATGCAGATTATCCTGAAGATAGGAGGAATATTTCTTTATTTGATGACTGATTTAACTGCTCATGTAAGGTTCTAACTACACAGAAAAATACTAATTTTTAAATTTTTTACAAATTCTATTTGTTACTAAAAAACTATTTTGTGATCTTTAAATTATACTACTTATAATTTATCAACTAATCAATCAAAAATAAAATAATCAAAATTGGCAGTAAAGCCATTTATAACATTATAAAAGATTTCTATTTCAAATAAATGTTGTTCTTTTAAACTTTATATTCATCAAAGAATCCTGAAAGATGTATAATTTTCCGCAAAAACTTTAAGTAGCACAACAGTTTTCAACATTGATAATAAGAAATGTTTCTTGAGCAGCAAATCAGCATATTAGAATGATTTCTGAAGGAGTAATGATGCTGATAATTCAGTTTTGCATCACAGAAATAAATTACATTTTCCAAACACATTTAAATAGAAGTTATTTTGAATTGTAATACTATTTAATAATGTTACTGTTTTTGTATCAAATAAATGCAGTCTTAGTGAGCATAAGGGACTTCAAAAACTACAGAATATCTTACAAACCCGATGCTTTTAAACAGTAGTGCATAATTATTAATTAACATTATACAAACAACCAATTAGAGAGTGAGTCTGAGTCAAATGTTAACTGCTCTGATGGATTCAGCAGATTCAGTTCATTAGATTGATGCAAATGTGTATCTGATTGATTTCATGATTCTGATTTTGACCGATTGATTAAAGGAAGTAACTTATAATATAACTTATATAACATTTGTTTTTAAATCGTACCACACTCACTGGTCTGTTTGTTTCTGCATGCAGTCACAGTGAAGACAACACAGTAGAAGGACATTCTCCCACTAAGCTAAAACATTTTCCTTTTCCATGGTGCTGCAGATTAGAAGCGCAGAAAATACTAGTATTTGCTGCTAATAGTAAGTTCACTAAATGTGAATAAAGCTTATAAACTCTAAAAACAAATTAACATTTTGTCTCAATGCACTCATTTAACTTCATCAGACTTGGAGGACAAGAAAGGATTGAATTAGCTTAATGACACACTCTTTAGAAAACTTAATTGCCTAATTAAAAGTGCATAAAATGATCAGGATACTTGATATTTGCATAAAATTAAACAATATAGCATTTCTGCAGCTCAAACAATAGCACAAGGTCATGGGTTTGATTGCTAGGTAATGGATGAACTAGAGGTCAAGAATTTAAATCCCCCTATCAGAGATTTGTTTATGTTCTCTAAAATGGACACATTTTCTGCACAGGGTTTTACTTACAATCTGGCAACCATCTCTCTCTCTCTCTCTCTACACTGTGGAAAAAGCACCGATGAGCTGAAAACCTCGACAAAAAGTTGGAGTTTAGCAATCTCCATTGAGATATTCTGCTCATATTAAAGTATCATACAGCCAGTTTGTGTTCCTTCACATGGTAATTTGCAGTGTTTGTTGCGTAAATCTGCCATTAAATAATAAATCCAAACATGCATCTTGACTAGATTGTGGCTGCTAAATAAATGCCCTTACGCAACCCCTGTGCCACAAGCCAATGTTTTGTTGTTGTTGTTGTTTTATTAGAAAAACTAGAATACAATTAAGAATTATTGGAATTAATATTAGGATTTTCACTCTTTTAGCTTTTGAGTTTTACCAGTTTTCATAATGTTGATGTTAAATGACAACAATCATGATCAGTAATCACAATTACAATTGTGAGCAAAATAATTGTGATTATCAGTTTAACCATTATGCAGCATGACTAAAAAATACATTTTCATCGACTAAAACTAGACTAAAATTCCCAGACTTTTAGTCAACTAAAACTTGACTAAACAAAAACAGGATAGGTTGACTACATATGAGAAAAACTAAAAAGGGCATTTGAGACGGGGCTTTTTTCTTCTTTCTTACTTTTGGACCGAATGGGAATGCAAAAATTATATTTGTTGTAGATTCTGTTCATTACTCTACAAATTTACTCAACTATGATGACTTCCACTTCTGAGAACCCTGGAAATGAGGAAAGAGTCCACTTTTAAATACTGACTCTACAGCACTGAAAACACCTAGAACAAGGGATTTCAGAGTCTCTTCCATCATTCAAATCAGTGGACAAACCCCAAAAACACATTAACGACCTCACGGTGCAAGTGTTAAGGCCAAGTGATCTCACACTGGGGCTCTGGGGAAATCAGGCACAGGTCCAGTCCATACTAATAAGCCTGCCCCCCTCGTACCATCCCTATCGCTCCATGGAGAGCGTCATCCTCCGCTCCAATCAAAACGGCCCAGAACCGTGCTGGGCGCAGGTTTAATGAGACTGCTCCTTCTGTAGCTCAGGAGGGAACATTTGGGTCTGAATACCTAAAACCCAACTCAGATTAAATATTCCTGCTCGCTTTATTCGTCCTGATGACACAGCGCTTTCCTGCTCTCTAAATGTAGCTGTCCGTGGTGCTGAATCCTAATCAGACTCGGCTCTCTGCATGAGAGTGTTTCTGTGTGCATGCATTCATTCTGATCCGCAGGGGTCCCGAGTACATCCACCTACTGCTAGGGATCAGAAACGATGCTCTCAATATGTCCGAGTGCAGACGGAAGAACGGCACTTCATACGTCTATAGTCTCACACCAGCCGGCTAATTTCTCCCATTTATCCATCTGCCTGTGTTTATGCAATAATCATAAAGGGCCGTGCTTTTTTCTCTCTTTTGTCAGAGCAATCTGTGGCCTTATGTGTTTGTTTGAACAGCAGTGGTCTTGGTAACTGTTGTCATGCCAACCTCCACCCCCAGTCTTTCCTCCTTCTCCTGTATCTTTGAAGCGGGGTTCCAATGCAGACCCGTTCCAACCAATCACGGAGAAGCTCTTAGCAACACCAAACAGTCACAGGGAATTAACAGTTTGCACTCTGCATGTATCTGTATGTCTTTTCTGTCTAAAACTCTGGCTTGCACTCTGCATATATGTGTATGTTTGTGTGTGTGAGAGAGAGAAAGAGAGCGAGAAAGAGAGAGAGAGAGAGAGGCAGTATGCATTGGCATCTCTTGTGCGGGGGAGGAGGGACGCAGGTGGGAAAGATGGAGATAAGAAGAGAGAGAGTGAAGCAAATGGAAAGATATGAACAGGGAAAGCGGAAGGTATATTGAGCTGCTATGAATAGATTTTTGCCAGCAAACCTCAGGTGACAGCATAACCGATGAATAATATGATGCTGTAATGCAGCTTTAATGAAGTCATGCTGAATCAAGTACAAATTCCCATTTAAAGAACATTATGTTCATTAGCTTCCTCCAAACCCCTATTAGCATACTACAGCTGACCTAATATGTTGTAGTAAAATGTAAATTTGCTCAGAAATCTCCTGTGAACACAAATCTTCAGCAAGCCACTGATAATGACACTCTACACTGTTTGAATAAATAACATCAACAGCAAGTAAACACTCTTATGGAATGACTAGTTCGGTGCACACTCAATTGAATGCTGTTAAACAGTTCACATAATGAAAAGTAATTAAAGAGGCTCACATGCAGTGCTCACTTACCATACTGTCATAGTAGATTAATTCAAGCTCATAATCCGGAAGAATATCCGTTCTCTTGTTCACCAGATCCAGGGCCATTTGGGCAGCAGGGAGACAAGCCTGGCCACCCGGCCATCCGCCGCTCATCGGGAACAGGGCTCCGATGTAAAGCTTCTTCTTGCCTAGAACCGGGCAGGACCAGGAGAACAGTAAAGTAAGGGTGGCCAAAACAAAGTAGGAAGTTGATATCAAGCACCGTCCTCTGCTGTGATGCTGCCAGGATAGTTTGGCCATAGTGGGCATGAGTGTGTGCCAACACAGTTTATGTTCTTGATGTTATTTTACATGAAAGGCAAGGCATAGGTTTTTGCCAAGAATTTTACTTTCGTAAAAAATATTTTGAACGGTATGAATTTCAGTCTCCTTCAATGCTGAAATTATTCATTCAAAATATCACGTGAATGCTGCACTGTCGATTACCCTGAACTCCTATAGATCTCTAATATACTTTTGGACGCACTAAAATACACCTTTACATTTTTTTACTTGGATGCGTTTACGACAACAACATCGATGGCGATTCAAAGGCATGTGGTTTTGATTCCTAATTAACGTAATAAATCTGCGGAGAGTACATTTTAACTATTAGAATCGCGTTAACAACGTCCGCGTATTGAACTAGCCAGTGTTTACGGGAACGGTTATAAAACGTACTAAGTTTCAAAGGTTCACCAAAGTTTTAAATAGCCGAAATCAAGTCAACTGACGTTAAAAGTCAACGAGACGTTACAAACCGTCTAAAGCTGCGGTTTTAAATTGAACAAGAGCGTACATTCACGCGAAACAACGTTAACGAGCTCGAGCGCTAAAAACAATAATAATGTTTCCTTGTCTCAAGACTTTTTCGTGCTGTAGTCTTATACTCACGCTTCTCCTGAACGCGAAACGAATAGAGCACAGAAATGAACGTTACGTGTTTGTTTATAGAAAGCGCAGTGTTACAGACCAGATCCGCTGGAATCTTCTGTGCGCTTCTTAAGACGAAACGAGACGGTGAATTCGGAGTGAGAACCGATTAGCGCTGAAAAACGGAAGATGTCTTTGTGGCTGATTGGTATAAAATCCAGTACGTAAACAAAAGAAGCTATAAACGAAGTCACAGCAGTGAGTGAATGTGTTGTGTTCGTTGGATGCAGCAGGAGACTGAGAGCGAGACAGAATGTGCTCGTTTATAGAGAGAGACAGAGAGAGAGAGAGAGAGAGAGAGAGACTGTATGTATGTGCGTGTGAGAGAGAAACTGTGAGAGAAAGAGAGATAGAAAGGAGTGTGTGTGTGTGTGTGTGTGTGTCAGAGAGAGAGAGAGAGTCATAAATGTGTGGGTCTCATTTTCCTTTTCTGTTTCACAGAGCACTTTGAATTTGCAATCCCTTAACACAACCACTCTGGTTTATTATCCACCCGTCTCCCCACCTCTTTTTCCGCCAACTACACCCAAGCCATCCGCCTCGGATCCACATTTTTCTTTCTCTCACTGTCTATTCCTCATAGCACCCAATAACATCTTCCCTCTCGCACACAATTGCATCCTTACATTTTCAGTCACAGTTAGTCTGTTTTCATGTCACTCACTTTTTGTTGTTGTTTTCCAATCAATATAAGGACTGAATGTATCCTGAACCATTTTAGACAGAACCTGCTATCCACTACATTATGAATCACATGCTTCGTTCCTCTCTCCCACACACCTTCATCTCCATTGCACCATCTATTTCCAAACTCCCAGCCACCGCTCACACTAATCCTGCACCTTACAGCAGATACATCGTGGTAAACAGGATCCATAGAGGACTGACTACGTGTGCCCGACTGTAGTCTTCAATAATGTATCTCCAAACTGATGGGCTGACACCGATCCTTCGCTTCCTCTAACTCTCTTCCTCACCTTCCCCCGAACCCAATGTTTTCCTCCGAGCTGAGTGCCATTTTTCTACACGTTCAGTGGCTTCGGTAACACATTCGCCCTCTCACGAATCCTGAGAGTTGATGAGAATCGCTGCAGCGATCTATCTGTTTTCTCCTGCTCCGTTTATTCCCAGCACACACTTGACTGATCTTGCAACTTCTCTTTCTGCAAAAACACAGCGCAAGCCACATCACATAGATACTCAAAGTTAGGCGTGACATGGGCCATGATCAAGCAGACCTCGAAATGAATAATGAAATTCCAGCCAGAAACACGAGATATCGCTTTCGGTAGATGCCTTGGGAAATTCAGATTGTTAGGGCGATATATTTTCACTGACATTCTTGCACAAAGCTGATTAGCGATTCTGGAATATCCACATGTTCTAAAACAGCAAGATTAATTTTTTTGTAAGCAAAGCACTTTAGGCTCAACCGAGATGGAATAGCTGCAGAGGATTCAGGCCACCTTTCTGTTTCTCTCTCTCACAAACCGTTTCGATTTTCACATTCTCTCCAACATTAAAACCCAGAGGCGCTGGTTATATATCAGAGAACTGGTATTAGCTTAGCAGCTGCTGCAAGTGCCCTGGGGTTGTGCCAGGGCGATATATTTTCACTGACATTCTTGCGCAAAGCTGATTAGCGATTCTGGAATATCCACATGTTCTAAAACAGCAAGATTCATTTTTTTGTAAGCAAAGCACTTTAGGCTCAACCGAGATGGAATAGCTGCAGAGGATTCAGGCCACCTTTCTGTTTCTCTCTCTCACAAACCGTTTCGATTTTCACATTCTCTCCAACATTAAAACCCAGAGGCGCTGGTTATATATCAGAGAACTGGTATTAGCTTAGCAGCTGCTGCAAGTGCCCTGGGGTTGTGCCACAGATGAAATACACCCCTGTATGTGCGGCGCATGCAGAGTGGCGATTAGTCTCCAGGGTGGCGCTAGCACTCAACTCTTGACCAGTTTACCCAAAACCATATAACTTGTAAGAGAAACCTCAGAACTTCACAAAATTAGGTAAGCAAATGCAACTTATAATTCTAAACAAGCACACCAATTTTTATGGAGATTGGCCTATAGGTGGCACTATAACAGCTAAGGTAATAGTTATATATTTCTATGGTAAATTACTTGACATTGCTAAAATGGTGTTTTTCATCTATGAAACATAGAATTTTAGTACTCTTGCTGAGATCTAAGGCAAAAGGACTCGGCCTGAATGGTCAAATGTGGCAGTGATCAATAAAAAAATGCACAAAAGTAGGGGTGTGCGATAATGAAAAAAAAAATTATATACCGATAGCGATAATTAGACGCTATTTTGCTGAGCATGTTATTGTGCTGGTATTTTATTCAATAGTGATATGCAAAACTGTTCTGCTGTGGCTTTGTTTGTTTCCGTCATTAAAAGAATTCCAGCATATTGAATTTTTTGCAAAAACTATTTTTGTGAAATAGTCCTAGGTTTCTCGCCCAATCGGAAACAAACCAGTGCTCCAGAGTTCACTACAGACGGAACATGAATAATCAAAAAACTTTGAAATTTTGATTCATCACCACAATAGTACAACAAAAAGTGAATGATTTAGTGACAGTCTGGAAACACAGTCCATATGTTATTAACTCGCTTCTTTTTTAGCCAATTAACACTTTCATTTTCAACATCACTACTACATCACTATTAATTTCAATGATAATTCATTTATTATTTAAATTATTCACACTTCTTCTTATGAAAGGATTCTGATCTAATTGGTATGCTAATATTGATGCTGCTGCCTCTGGCTGAGCTTCAGTTGCCAACCATCCAGGCGGGCCAGTGATATAATCTGTGGGAAAAATCTCTTTGCTAGAATAGCTAAATACATAAATATGCCATGAACAATTTTGGGCTATTTTCCATTGATTTCCTCTTTGATGTATTTCAGGGGTGTCCAATATTTCTGGAGGGCCACCTTCCCCTGGAGACCCTGGAAGTCTGTAGCAATCCTGAAGACCTTGATAAGCTGATCGGCAAGGCGATATTGGCATGCTTATAACCCAGGCTTTCTAACTTGTACCAACACGTCGAAAGGCCACTTTTGCTGCTGCACACTATTATTTCTGAAGTATATAGTATACAGTATATACTGACGGCACTCAATGGCACTTGCACAACTACAGTAAGAAAAATATAAGTCCATTTTATGATTTAGGAGCCTTCCAAAACTGAACAGGACACTGGTAAAATATCTATTATACTACAATTCCTTGCAAAACTTCGTCATAACTTTGTCAGATTACACAGGTATATTTGAATGTGCACTGGTCCATACTAACCAGCAAAACCTTGACCTTTTGTTTTCTAATACTGTATGATAAAAATGTGACTTGACCTGGCTTTCCACTGCAATAAATGAGCTTTAAGGTGATGTCAAAAGACAGTTAATAAACTAATAATATTAGGGCTGTTATACTGATCAAATAAGTAATAAAACATGGCTGTAACATGGCGTAACAAATTAATAATAACAAAAATTGCAGCATTCCTTTACCGTATTCCAGTTGAATCCAAGGTTTCTATTTACAACTGGTTTTATTTTAAGAGACCGTGTCTCTTCAGAAAACCTGAATTGAAGTGATTGATTCATTTTACACTATCTTCATTAACTTTTTAAATCTTTAAATCTTTTCAGTAGAATGGACTTTCTTTGGAGGGACAGAAATCTATTAGGTTTAATTTGTGTTTGAAGACGAACAAACGTTTTAATGGTTTGGAATACATCATTTGATTCACTAAAAAGAACTGGTTCATTAGAGTCATTTATTTAAGAATCAGACTACACTGATCGTGCTGCATGTTTTTGATTAATAATAACGGGCTCGTAAGAGTAATTCATTAAGGGATTGGACTACACTGATTTATGTTGTACCTGTACCTTTCACTAAGATGAATAAATAGTTTGGAACGACATTATGGTGACTAAATGATGACAAAATTTTCACTAAAACCTTAATTGTAATGGGAATGTTTTCAGAAGTCCAGAACACCTAGGCAGTCAGTGATTTTGCTGTACAGACCAGTAATCAAAACTAATGTATCATAGTTGCAAAATGAAGAGAAATGACCACATCTGTGATTTCTGTCATAATCTTGCAGCTCTAGTGGTCAGTATACAGTAAATACTGTGCAGTAAACACTATACTGGTATTCCATCTCTGTCAAAATGTGAAAGATAAATATTCTCTTTTACTGTCCTTCTATTGCTGTGTCTTTCTGTGCATTTGCATTAAGAGAACTGAGTAGCATGTCCCGGGCTGCTCGGAGTAGGATCACGACACAG